TTCCAGAGCTGATGCTTGTAAAAAGGGTTCAGTTCATGGTCCCCAAAAGGAAGAGTGGTGCGTATAAGGCGGGGATGAGTACAATCTGTGTACAACAGGAGGAAGTGGTATCAGCCAGTATGAATACCCGATCCCGTTTTACCATGTTGTGTCACATTTAGTCTGTTTGCAAAGCTTGAAGCATGTTGAATATTATAAATCCACTGAGGCGTCTGCACAAAGATTAGTTTGCACACAGAGATGTCATTTATAAAATACAGAGCCTGACACAGATATTCTTCAGCTTGCGGAAAACCCAGGAAAGGTGGGAAGAATGTGCAAATGAGGGAACACACTGGTGTGTAGATCAAAACATTTCAGGAAGGATGTGACCTGTTCCTCATATTGACACGGGATGACCCACAGCTCTACCACCATCACCAAGCTTTTCTAAGAGTCGCACAAGCATGAACTTGGCAGTACTGTCTTGAGCAAACAGACATAGCCATGACTCATTTACTCTGTGCTTCCTCTCTCCGTACAGAGGGAAGGCATCACCTTCCAGCAGGAGCAGCAGGGACAAGGTGCTGGAAAATTCTGAAGCTCCCAGGGGAGAAGACAAGAAAGGGGAGCTTCCACCCACCTCAGCTGGCAGAGGCACTGAAGCAGCTTGGGAAGATCTTGGTTGCTAAGTATGATCTATAGCTGTCTTTGTCCTCTTTCATGTTTGCCTTAGGTTCCACTACAGGCAAACCCAAATGTTACACTACCAGATAAAGTAAGATGTTGCTTTACCCCTGGAGCTTGCCTTGCAATAAACCTTACAAAAAAACCCTGCAGCTTCCAAACCTTGACCTGTGTGGCTGCAGCCACCATCCACTTCTCCTGCACCGTGGGCCTGTCTGTCCTCAAAACAAATCATGCACATGCCCTGGGAGGGAAAGGTGATCATTTCCTTAGGTGAGACTGGATTAGGAACAATTTGTCCCTTTTGAATATGTGCCAAAATAAAGCTGATTTGAGGGAGATTGTCAACTGTGAAAAAGCAACAAGTCACCAACATCTGACATCTCACCTTCCCTCTGCCTGCATGCAGATGCTGTGCATCCTTTCAGGTAACACAGAGTGGGATCTTTATTAGAAGGTGGCAAACTATGAAGTTGTATCTGGGGAGTATGATGCCAATTCAGGTGTAAGGATCTGCTAAGGCCATATACCATGCTCCCACACACCAGGCCCATGTGCTCAACCAAAACCAGCTCAGGCTGCCCAGCTGTACCTCACATGAAGGGCTGTACCCTCAAGAGTGTCCTGAGCCACTCTGCAGATATGTGAGGTACAACTGTGCTGCAGGTTAGGGAAAACAGATCCAGGCAGGTAAATCCCACACTCAAGCTGTAAATCTTGCCATATCTGCAACGAGCACCACAAGATGAAAAGTGGGTAGCTTTTATTGCTCAGTCACCAGGCTGGCTTCTCCACACCAACACCACCTTCACGTTGCCCACACTGCAGGATGCTGGTACAGCTCCACAGATGCCAGCAGCAACGTAGTCAGGCTTTAACAGCCACATCACACTGATACGTGGCTCATTTTAGCTCCTGCTTACTGGCACTGCTGGATAACATCCTAGGCGTAAGTTTTAGTGAGATGCTTGAAGAAAAAGAGTCTCCTGCATACAGAGTCATAGAATGGTTTGTGTTGGATTAAACCTTAAAGCTCATCCAGTTCCAACCCATTGCCACAGACAGGTACACCTTCCACTAGAGCAGGTTGCTCCAAGCCCCAATCAACTTGTCCTTGAACACTGCCAGGAATGGAGTATTTACCACTTCTCTGGGCACCCTGTGCAAGTGTCTTACCACCCTCACCATAAAGAACTTCCCTACATCTAGCCTGAACTTCCTCCGTTTAAGTATCAACAAGTGAAGGCAGGATTCATCTGCCTCCCTGTGATGGCTCAATGACCTAGACTCCCCATAACCCCCCTCTTGCTACAGGGGGTGAAGAGGTGCCTAGTACCCATCCAGTGAAGACCCATTTAGAGGTGCCAATGTCTCCCAGGAGTCTTCACATGGAATCGAAGGCTACTACCTCCAAATAAAATGTCAGACTTCCACCTATCTACCATTAGATGAGAATAGCTCTGCTGCCTGTCTCACCATGGAGACTTTCTATGGCCTAAAGACTCTGGGTTCATTCCTAGATCATCATGACAGACCGACAGTGAAATCTTTTACCATGGTTTGAAGAACACACTACGCAGTGACTTTATAGACTTAAATGCCAGGCAGTGATGCATTGCCCAATGGAGTGTCATATAAGAATCATAAATCACAGTCTTGCCGGAGCTTGTGGATGTCAGACATGTGAATATGCTGATTTGGTATCCATGGTAGTTTGGCATGTCTCACATCTTTGTCTTCTGCCCAAAATAGGTCAGCTCTTAAATATTACTCAGCACTTGGAGTTCTGCCACAGCACAGAAGACAGTTGAGAAAACACCAAAAATGTGTCTCCCAATGCAAAGAAATATTGAGATAAACTTCACTGGATTAGTGCAGTCTAAAAGCAGAACCCCCCTCCATGGTGGTGTAACAACAAGGCAGGGCGAGGTTACTTGGCTAATGACAGTTGAGGTGGAGATTCTAACACATGCTCAAGAGCTGAAATAGGACAAAATCTGAGCATGAAGCTGCTCAGCCAAAGCTCAGGACTGTAACCCTTGCTGGAGCACTCATATCTCCTGTCTACACATACAACTGGGTTGCCAGTTCAAAATGAACACAGGAAATCTATTGTGTAATATTTCCAGAAGTAATCAAATGATATAGGGCGCAATCCTAATCACAGAGCCCCAAAGTAATTTGTTGTATCGAAAGTCCCTACTTTCACAGCACAAATGGGCAATCAAATCATAGCACAAAGACAAATCTCCACATTTGCACAAGCAAACAAGGCCATTTGCCTGCCGAACATGTGGAGATGTTAATCACCAAGTCATCATGGTTGGATATGTGAATTTACCATGAAGAAGTTAGAAGTTAACATTATGGTACTGTTCAAATAAAATGTGAATTAAGAGGTAGCTGAAACGTAAATTCAAAGGCCAATTCATTCTTTTATGTCCATAAACAGCCAAGATATAGTTTAATTTCTTCAGGTAATAGAAGCCTTTTATTCCCTTTGGAAAGCACTGTTGGTATATGAACAGTCTGGACTCTCACTGCCCATTCTCCCAACCTTCCCAGGGATAGGAAATGTGCTCTGTGGGGCTTCCAGCAAAATTTCCAGTGGAAAATGTGTGAAAACCACTGGCCCATCTTCAGAACAGAGCCCCTGAGGCTTTTCAGTTATAGAAGGAAAGCAAGTTTTATTCTTAGCTGAGAAGAAACTGGGAGAAGTATATTGCACAGAAAAACTGCTTGAGGATAATTCGAATTGAGACAAAGAGGCAGGTTTTATGGGCCTGCCCGGGGTTATCCATGTGCTTGATGATGGCTATCAGGACAGACAACTCTGTAGACCATACTTCTACTGGGGTACATTTGCTATCTCACCCTAAATACACTGTCAGGCCTGATGTGATATGATGTGACTGTAAGATCCCTTTTGGATGGGGAGGAGGAAGGGAGAGACCTTGTGTGAAATGCCATCCATGAGTCCTTCCTTGAACCATCTTGGTTCCCAGCCCACCTGAAGATTCATGGTGGTTTTCTCTGCTTTCCTTCCACCGGTGCAGTGGCAGGCTGGAATTGCAGGGTATTGCATTACAAGTCCCACGGGTGCTGCCTCAGCCTCAGTAAACTTTATTTAAGCACACACAGACATACACAGACAATATACATAGATTTGTTTCTTCTCTGACAGTTCTACAGGACCGACACTGCTCTGGATGACACTTTGGAGACTTGGAAAAAGTGCAGGAAATGTAGGGGAAAAAAGACAGGTCTTTTAATAATTTGTGAGTCATGGTCATCCACAGGAACAACACGGGTGCATTCAACCAGGCGAGCACATGGACACATCTCCACATACAGTACATCGTGTCTATATAAGTATCTCCACATACATTGCATCTATATAAATGTACAACAGTCTCAGAAGTCAGCAGGACACAGAACCAGACGAGGACTGGCATGGCACATGCTTTGCACTCCCCGTGTCGCAAACCCACTGCCAGAGCACCACTGTGACTCGGTCAGGGTGTGAACAGAAAGATGCTCCAAACACAGTCTCACTGTACACTATAAAAAACTCACCAAATAGGCAACAACGTCAGAAAACGAACATTGAGCTGGGGTTCTGGTGACCAGCTACTTTTGAGTCAGCTCTCACAGCTTCTGTGTCACCACAACTCCTGGGTTATATGGTTACTTGTCTAATAGAGCTACAACTGTCTCTCAACATATATTTTATATACAGTATATATACACAGAACATACACAGAGAAGTATATGTATATTTTTGTGGTTTCATGTTTGTACATTATATCACAGATTATATGAACACATAAAATATATGTTTTAGGACCTAAAAAGAAATAATTTTATAAAATATTCATTATACCCCTCCCCCCCAACAAAAAAGAAAAGCTCAGAAGTCAAACAAAAGAAATACAGAAATGCACTCTTCAAGTGCTGACTGCCTGCCTTTGGACAGCATGACATCCTTCCCTTTCCTTTGAGAAGTACAACAGCACAATGGTGGTTTGCAACCATGCACTCAGGAAAACACAAAGCAGTATAAATTGTTGAACTGCAAAGTCAGAGTGGAGCCTGGAGCCTGGCTGCCTGACTCGACACTCTCCCACCATCTCCCTTGCTAGGATTTAAAAGGTTCTGCCAGGAGCACAGTATTTTACCCGCAGCAATATTTGCTAGGCTAAATCTACTGACTGCAGTCCAACACTGTTATCTCCCAGTGCTCAGAACCCAGCTTCTAAGTTAGAGCTTTTTCTTTTTTTTATTATTTATTTAAAACAATCTTTTTATTTAGCAAAAAATTGTTTCCACTGTACCCTTCGTGTGTCCTCTTCCTAACGTGACAAACCCGGAGGAGATGAAATTATGGAGATCTGGCCCTCCACTTCGATAAATATCCTTTCCATAGGGACCTGCCAAGGAAAAGAAAACAAAGAAATCGTTATTTAGTGTGTGCGTATCTATATATACATATATGCTACACAGCCTTGATGTCACCCTCAGAGTACCAAGGCCCCACCACATGGTTCCATTATTAATGGCAAGCAGAGGGTATAACAGAATATAACGCCTATAGTAGCATCAAAATCTTAATCCTTTATTGGCAAAGATTTACAATTGCATATTTAGATAACTGCCAAGGACTGAACCAATGCTGGGAGGGGAATTACTAACATGCCAAACCAAACACTCCCATCACTGGGAATTCTGATCATCACTGGCTTGGATGCAGGTTTCCCAGGAGCAGCACTCCCAAGAGCTGGTCTCACTCAAATCTTCAGGACATAAGGTGGCTCTGATCCTTCCTTATTCCAGCCATACCCCTGACAGCAGCCATGTGCCATTGGCAGACATCTGATCTCAGCACAAAAGCAAAGGTGCAAATACCACTTGTCCAGTCTGGACACAAGTCCTCATTAGCAGCATGATACCAAACTTTGTCTTTTAGCTTTGATTTGCTCTGGCCCTTCAAAGCATCCCTGGATAGTTTCTCAATAGCCTTCAGCAGAACACTTCCTAGGAGCTTTCTCAGTCCATGACAACAGGGTAGGTTCAGGAGACACACAGCTTTTTAATACTTTAATTTATTAATAAAGCAAAGGCCATTTGCCTCCCTTTTACCATGCAAAGCTCTGAAATGGGGACACAGTTAATTTTTCAGATACCCTTTATCATCTCCTCCCTTTTTCATGTTGTTCATTTTTCTATTCCTTTTATTTTAGAAAGAGGCAGAGATAAGGTAGGTGCTGGGGGAGGGAAGTAAGGCAGCCTCAGGGGCCAGGAATGCATCTTCCTCTCCATCCTCTCCATGCCTTTCTGCACAAGCAAGTGATGCACCACTGTTCTTCTGAACCACGGTGGCTGCGAGTCCAGCATGGCAGATGGCCCAGCGCACACTTGAGCAGGGGAGGTGAGTCGGGAAGCTTTGGGGAGGGCCAAAGGGGCATCAGGTATCCAGGTGGAAATGCAGCCTGGGGCCATGTTCTGCCTGGCTCACATTGCCTCTGACAGATGCTAGAGCCCTGCACTAGTTTTCCAACACTGAGATGAAATCCTGCTTGTTCTCACATGCTTTCAGGCTCTCCGGCCACACCGTGACAACTAATAAAAACAGAGACTTTGAAATCTCACCAGGCTGCGAAGTTTTCCTCTGTCCTTTTAGCCACTCATTCCCACCTGTGTATCCCAGGAGCTACTACTAATTTTACAGGCCATTACTCCTGTCATAAGACTCCACCCTGCATATGAGTGGGCTGAAGGTAAGCATCCCCCCTGTCTAGACTGTCCCAAAATCATAGAATCCCAGACTGGTTTGGGTTGAAGGGACTTTGAAGCTCCTTCAGCTCCAACCCCTGCCACGGGCAGGGACACCTTCCACTAGAGCAGGTTGCTCCAAGCCCCTGTGTCCAACCTGGCCTTGAACACTGCCAGGGATGGGGCAGCCACAGCTTCTCTGGGCACCCTGTGCCAGCGCCTCAGCCCCCTCACAGGGAAGAGCTTCTGCCCAAGAGCTCATCTCAGTCTCCCCTCTGGCAGGTTAAAGCCATTCCCCTTGTCCTGTTCCTACAGGCCCTTGTCCAAAGCCCCCCTCCAGGTTTCCTGGAGGCCCTTTAGGCACTGGAGCTGCTCTAAGGTGTCCCCTTCAGAAGCCTTCTCTTCTCCAGGCTGACCTGGCCCAGCTCTCTCAGCCTGTCAATATTCCATGTTCTGCCCTGCAATGGATCTGAGCAGGCTCCAAACCCCACTCTTCCACTGGTCCTGGATGCCAGCAACCGCCTGGCCCCGAGAGCCTAGCACAGAATTCACCATCACATGAGCATGGTGAAGATCCTAGGAGGAGGCTCACATATGGCAGCAGAAGAGGCTGAGACTCCTGACAAATGTTTATTCTTATCTAATAGAAAAAGCATCCCACTCCCTTCCCTCACAGATCTTTTTTCTGGTCAGGGTCAGTCAACTGCTCCCTGTCAACTTCTCAAAACACATATGAAGTGTTTCTGCAGGTTTGGGAGTGTTAGTAGCAAGACAGTTTTCTTCCTACAGTTATAGTAATGGAAGGTGGTAGCAAAAACCTTCAAATGTGGAGGCACCCATCCATAAACTGGCTGGGAAGAGTTTCCAGAAATAAGAAAGAAGGATTTTCTGCTTCCACAGGGAACATCACGGGCTCTTTCTCTCTTCTTCCTACCCAGCTCCTGCAAGCTCTGGCTGCTCTGTTCCTGGAAAAAGGTGGCATAATTTTGCCTCCAAGTCCCTGAAGTTATTTGTGCTTCATGAGGTGTTTGTTCTTGTCCTGAGAACCTCCCAGAGAGCTGGTGGCTGCAATGCCCAATTTGCTTTCTAAAATGTGTGGGTTTTTTTCTTTCCAGAAAGCCAATCTTTGCCCATGTACCATCAATTTTCTGTGCTTTCAGGGCCAGCCACTCTGGTGACTGACACTCTATCAGTGTCATGAATTTATTGGTTTAAACAAGGCTAAAAGAAACACATAGACATGTGCTATTCCTCTAGCTGAAATCAGCTGTCTTTTTATATGTCCCTTTGGACAATCTGTTTAAGACAGAGATCAAGAAGTAGAAGTATATAAAAAAAGCAAATATTTACTGGCAGATTGAAGATTGTTCATCAGCCATTTGTTCTCTGAACCTTGCTCTGCCCCTTCATATAGTACATAGTAGTTAAATTAAACCATCCTTGTGATGAAAACCTATTAGCATTTGAACAGAAGTTATGTTTTCCCACGAGAAACTTGCATTTGTAGATTTCAAGTAGCAAGTTTTCCCTTTTTATGGGTACATTATAGGATGCCACAGTTGTTTTATACGGGTTTTTTTTATTCCTGCTCGCTTGTCATCATTTCCCTTGGCTACACAGTGTAAAAATACCGGTAACATGGCTTTTACTTTTAGAAGCACCTTGGAGGCTACACGTGGGCCAAGTTCAGCTGCTGTTATTCAAAGACTTCATAACCACTTCTTGACAGAGATATTTCACACCGGCATTGTACCTTACCAAAATGCATGTGCCCAGAAGCTCAAGCATCAGCAGAGAAGCCTGTAAAGCAGTGGAAATGCAGTCCAGGGCTATGCCAGACCAGAAACCATCCCTGTTTCATTCTCCACTGGGGCTGTTTTCCTCCTTTCTACTTTAGCTGTGTGCTCTCACGGGTCTGCTGCTGGGAGTCCTTCCATAGATTGTGGAAGCTGTGGGGTGGAGGCATGGAGCTGCTGCAGAACCCCGAGCACACAGTCAAATGGACATCTCTGAGCTAGATCTGCTGTGTGAATGAGGTGGGGACAGTTTAATGGCTACCTTCTACCTGCTGTCTAGAGGCATTATTCACACTGCTCTCCCTCCTCCCTCATGTGAGACCGCATAAGAGCAAAGCTGCTCTTTGGTGGTGTATTTCCCTGGGAGCACACACAAACTCCATGGGCTGCAGCCTTAGTGGAGCTGAAACCCAGGACTCAGAGGCAGCACCTGAGACCTAAAAGAAGTCAGATAAAGCAAGAGCAGGTGATCAGTGAGGAAGGGAAGGCAGCACAGCACAGGATGCTCTTGTTCAAGGCCAGGTTGAACGGGGCTTGGAGCAATCTTCTCTAGTGGAAGGTGTCCCTGCCTGTGGCAGGGGGGTGGGATGGGATGAGCTTTGAGGTCTCTTCAACCCAAACCAGTCTGGGATTCTGTGGTTCTATGCTCATGTTCTCAGGCTCCCAGCACACACATTTCCCTCTTTCTACAGCTCCCATTTTGGGTGGGATTAGTTGCTGTCTGCCAGTTTTCCAAATCCAGGTGTCCTACCCACCTCACATGCGTTACCTGACCTCATGGCATGGAGTGTGCTACCTTGCCATACAGTATTTGTCTAGAAATTTTGCATCTCCAAGGTCTATTTCTCACAGTCAGGATCAAATCTAAAATGCTGCTTCAGAGCCCTGTGTCTGAGTCCCTGGAAGATGCTTTTCCTCCTTCTCACTCCGTGTCCTTGCTTTACACTCCTATCTGTGTGCTCTACTGCATATAAACCCTCAGATGCACACAAGCTCCCAGGCTTTTTCATTAGAAGAAATAAAGAGGACTCCAGCAAGTCTGTGTGTGTTACTAAAACAAATGAAGACCAACACTTACACAACTTAAAGTCTCCAGAAGAAATTGAAACAAGGCGAAACATGATTTTTTTCTCCTCTCCTTTGACTATAAAGCACAGCAAAGGCAGAGAGCAGAGGAGTGTTTTGCCTGCCACACAATAAAGGCATATTCTTTAGGGCATACAGCTCAAAAAGGGAACATTTCATTACAATGGCATCCTGCATAACACACATATGGAACAAACTCAGTCACAAACAGCAATTACAACCCCAGCTCTGATTTAACAGAATTATTAGAGCTGAACTAAAATGCTGTTATCCACCTCTTGGAAATGTTATTACTGAGCACAGATTACATCACCCTGAGAAGGGCAGACAGGGACTGTTGTGGACAGCCTTTTGCATGGTGCACTCTGGGATTCTGACCTTATCCTTGTCACACATTTCACCCAGAAAACAACCCACCCCCGGTGAAGACTCCCCACACCCAAACTCCTCAGCATCAGCGTTATTCTCACACAGATCTCTGTGGCAGAAGACATAAAACCTTTTTTTGGGGGGACAAATACGACCCACAGCTACCTGCCTCTGATGCTCCTCACTTCTGCTGGAGTGAGTGTTTTGGAGCTGTTTTATACATATCAACAGACTGATACAAAGGGCATGAGCTGCCAAAATGACCATGAGGTGTTTGCTGAGCACATGGCACACTGCTCTGCCCCGCTCTGGCTGTCCTATCAAACAAATGCAATCATCCTTGAACGCAGGGGGAGGCACGGCTCCAGACCCATACCAAGGAATTCTTGGAGCCAGCAAGCACAAGT